AGACAGACAGCCATATAAATTTGCAAAATAAAATAAATAAAATATTTGAAAAATTAACAGCTCTATTATAGGATACATTTTCACATTTAAAGCAGGGTTGTCCCATGGACCACAGATGGTCCTGTGTCTGTCTGTCTGTCTGTGTGTATATAGCTTCTGACACAAGTTTTGCTGATTTATTTCTTTTTTGTTTGTTTGTTAGAAAACCCAAGGCTCCCTTCTCTCATTTTTCCCCCACAGCAAAAACCCTATTAAGGCAGGAAACAGGAAGTTATAGCTGTTTGAGCCTTAGAATCGATTCGAAACATTAAATCAACTTTTTAAAAACCACCGAATACCATTCTCCCAAATAGCAGCACCTTGGAAAATGCCTGTCCTTTCCATTTACGTGATATCATGTAAATGGCACTCCTTGCTGCCAAAAAAAATCTATTTTAAAAGGTGGGGTTTTTTTGGTTTGTGAATATTTCTCTGCTCCTATATCAAAGTCCACTCATTTCATATCTGTTTGGTTGCTAGTGATGGGAAGACCAAGAGCTCTGAATGGGAAGAACTGAAATTCTTCTTTTGGTTACAGCTGATACTAGGCACGGGCTGTACATTTTGTTCATACTGTCACAGTCACGATAGCGAGAAAAGCTCTTTTCTTGAAAAAGAATGTATTTCCCAGAACAATGGCTACCTTCACCTTTCCTTTTGGGAGGAAAGAGGGAGATCTCTGTGATGGCTGCGTTGAAGATGAATGCAGGAAAGGAAGAATTTGGCAAGAGAGGGAGGAGTTAAGGGGAAGAGAAAGGGGATTGATTGACTCCTAAGCTTTCCTTCATTCTCTGTAAAAGGCCTTTATGTCACAGAGTTGGGCTATATCAGGCAATGCCTTGCCTAAACTGAATCTCCCCATCTGGTCTGGTCTTCTAGAGAGGGTCTGCTTAGAATACCGACCCCCACCACTTCAGAGAGGTTCAAGGGGAGTTGAGTTAGGAGTAGGTACCGGTCCCTACCTTGCAGGTACATAGGGCCCCCTGCTCTGTTTACATAGACAACCAAGGAGATGGGCTTGAGGACAATATTCAGAGATGGTTATGAAAACAGAAAGGGCAGAAGCCTGCCTTAAGCCCCGGGAAGGAGACAGGATGAGGAAGAGACTCAAGCTGGTTTCTC